ATTCCCGAACACTCAGATTCTTGACTTCGAGAAGGGTCCTCCTGGGATTTAGTGGTAGATTAAGTGGTAACTCTTAATTATATCATTAGAAACCCCTGTTTTGAATTAGTTTCTAAATCTTCTGCTATCACTCCTCCCCCATAGCGACAATTTTCGCGGTTTTTGATGTCATCTCCCGCATTCCGACCTCATGCGGTCTGTCGACGCTCACGACGGAACCCTCAGTATTCACTGTCTACTAGTAGTTCGGTCGTACCTCACTTCCCCACTGCTCGGCTGAGCTCGAAGCGTGCTGTGGCCGATCGCATCTGGGTTCCTCTCGTCTGGCCTCTTTGACGCGGCGTACCAATCAGGCCCAGACGATCTCAATTGTGAATCCCGTATACAATGCCATTTGCAAGCCAGTCCTGTCTGACCCACATTCGTACCCATCAAGGCTGACATTTATTGCTACCCTGATGATGACCGACAACATTCCGTTATATACCGCCACCTACAGGCCAGTCCGGCTCGCTTTTTTCTGTTATTATTTTTATGGAGGGGTTTTTTTCTCCTGTAAAAGCAATCCTATTATTTTTAGCTTTTTGTGAGGAGTTTTTTTCACACCTCAATCATCATGTTTCTCAATGGACTTCTAATTCAGAAATTATGAATTGCATTTTGAAAAGATTCGGCCTACCTCGTCTAAAACTCGCATGCAAATTTATTTTAACTTGCTTTGATGGGACCCCGACGGGTCTTTAATAAAAATTATCTATCTATCTAAGTATACCCGACTTAATTTTCTGTAGAGGCTGCTTGCCATCGTCAGTGTCATCCCTAGGCCCACTCGGGGGCTCAGACCATGACATAGTTGTTTCAACGTTGGAATTCGAGGCTGACGAAATGTCGTCCCAGAAGTATAACGTTTTCCGCGATTTCCGATCAACTCGCTCTACCGAATTACTAACACACCTTAATTCCTACGACTGGACTGAGTTCTTCCTTAGTTCCGATGTAAATGTTTGCACTGCAAAACTGTACGAAATTTTGGGTCCGCTTATTTCTCGTTTTGTCCCCCGTAAGAAAATTATTAATGTTGGGGATGAGATTTTCCTACCCTTACCCTTTCGTCGCAGATTGCGCAGACTTTATCGTCGTTTCCATCTGCAGAACGATATTTCTGTTCTGCCCTTGATTTGTGATATTTTTGATCGAGCTAAGAGATTGTCTGAAGAAAAACAGCTAGCCGAAGAGGTCCACTTTACTGAAAACCATTCGTTAAGTGTCTCGAAACTTTTCTCTAGAAAAATACGAACTCAGAGAAAGACGCAGTATCCCATCCTTCGAGATGATCTCGGAAATCCAATATTTGACGCCCAGTTAACCGCGGATAGCTTCAATGATTTCCTGTACAAAACGTTTATTGAAGACTCGACCACTCCGCTTCCGACCATCCAGTCATTGACCGGGGCAGTTCTAGAAACTATAACTTACACTCTGTGGGATGTGACTGTTGCGATTCGGCGTTTTCGTCAATCTTATAGTCCAGACCCTGATGGTGTCCCAGTAAGCATTTTAAAAGCCGATGCAAACACGATCTTCCCATCCCTCTTATGCAAGATATTTAATCTTGCTCTTGCAAGTGAAACTTATCCTACCTTGTGGAAGGAATCACACATTTTGCCCATTCCTAAGCACGGCAAATCCACATCATTTGATGACTTTCGGCCAATAAACACCCTCCCTGCAGTTTCGAAGATCTTAGAGACATTGATCAAGGATAAGATGTTGTGTCACTTACCAGCGAATAACCTACTGAGTGCTGCTCAGCATGGATTCCTCAAAGCTCGATCTTGTGACACCTGTCAACTCTCTTTCTTTGACTATGTTCTCCAATCTAGGGACCATGGTTTTGCTCTTTACACAGTATATTTCGATTTCACAAGGCTTTTGACCGTGTTAACCATGCTCTTCTCCTCTTGAAATTGTCCTCTTTCGGAATAGGTGGCAAACTTTTGAATTTTATATCCTCTTATTTGGGCACTCGCACACAACGCGTTAAGATTTCCAATACCATCTCCAACCCCACACGTGTGAGGAGTGGAGTCATTCAGGGTAGTGTACTCGGCCGGCTTTTATTTTGCCTTTTCGTTAATGATGTACCCAATTTATTTCAGAATGGTAAGCCTTTCATGTATGCCGATGATCTTAAAGTTGCATATCGATATAGGCCGGCAGATCATGACATCGTGCTTGAGCTCCTAAAGAGCGATCTACAGGCTTTCGCCCAGTGGTGCCGCACATGGCGCCTTTCTCTTTCCTGGCATAAGTGCTCAGTCATGGTGGTTGGCGACGACCACCAACCTCAACTAAGTATTGAAGGTCACGCAATAAATGTGCCTGGGGTTATAAGGGATTTGGGCGTATCATACTCCAAGAGTCTCAATCTCTCGGAGCACTGTTCCTTGAAAGTCTCCAAAGCACGTAGAACGACCGGGTTTATCCTCCGAAATTTTAAAACTAGGGACATTAGAATGCGCCTTTTCAATATGTATGTTAGACCTGGTCTGGAATACTGTTCGTTTTCATTTAGCCTCATGCGTGCTACTGAGCGGAAGAAAATAGAATCCGTTCAACACTTTTTTACCAAGAGAATTTTAACCCCGGAACACCGACATTTGTCTTACCAAGAACGTTGCCGGCTTACAGGCCTCGATCCTTTATGGTTCCGTAGATTACAAAAGGGACTATTTTTGCTATTTAAACTCTTATATCATCACACATTTAACCCGCTCACCTCTTTAAGACATCATATCCACCCACGACGTAACAGTCACCGTGAGGTCTTCTTATTTCTGCCTCTGGCACGTACTGTTAAATATCGTCGGTTCTTTCCTGTAAATGCAATTGCTATTTGGAATAAACTACCCATGAGTGTGAAAACTCTGCAAAATTTTCGGCGGAAGCCAAACAGGCCGCCGCAGTGAGAAATCCTC